GAGGCAATCGTATCAATTTTTATAGATATAACAGCGAAAGAAATTACCCATTATGTAAATGACACAATTAAATTATATAACTGTCGGGCAATCGTGTCAATTGTTATACTTTTCGATGTGACAACTGATAATTATCAATTTGACATTGTCGTTACCTTTTACTTTAATATGAAGGTGATACCTGTGAAATAGGTAAGGTTAAAAGGGTATTCGTTTCAACGATTACTTCACATTACCGTGGCATCCGTCTAAATTGTAGATATAACAATAGATATTTTAAAGTTTGATAATATGACAGTGTCTCTTGGTGCACTATATACAGTTATACATGATGAACAGACAAAGTCAATTGTCAAAAATCAATTTCAAAATTATTTAATAAACCAAAAGTTTAGCAATACATATTTAACAACAGATTTTACCGAAGTACTGTTATTATTGTATATCTAATTATACACGACGTTTTTACCAATTCAATTCGTATACTCAAATCCAGGAACAATAAGGCAATAATTGGGTCGTCACCTGCGCACGCACGAGAATTGAGTTACAAGTGACGATAACAACACACGCTGAAAACGCAAAGGTTCATGGGTAGACGCTTGTTTGTAAACAATGACACGCTATGACCATCTGACGCATGCGCAGGTGACGACTCCCCCGCTTTAAAAACACACATAGTGTATAGATCGTCTTTATATTTCTAGATACCGACGAGTGTGCTGGAACACCATGTCAACATGGCGAGTGTGTGAATAATGCTGGATCGTATACATGTAACTGTGCTGAAACTGGATACGAAGGATACCACTGTGAGACAGGTGAAAGAAAGAAACTACAGCAGCTTGTAGCGGGTGTCATTTTGATATTTTTTTTAAATTGCTGCAATTTATATTTTAGCTGATTATCAACCCTACATTGTTCAATAGTGTAACACTGACAATTGTGAGGTATGCGAGTTGGAGTTACTGAAAAACATGAAATTTGATTCTCCCACTCCAACGCACGCGCGGGAATTGAGTCCCAAGCGACGATAACAACACATGCAATGACTCATGGGTAGACGCTTGTTTGTGAACAATGGCACGCTCTGGCCATCTGACGCATGCGACATGACAACTCCCCCGCTTTAAATGATGACACGTTTGTGAGGGCAATATCCCGATTTGTTGCCTGCCCAAGAGATGGTGGTCATGACCACAATATTGATTATCATGCCAGAGCCAATAAAATCCACCATACTCAACTGCACCTAACATGCACCTCTCACACCCGTTCTCCCACTTTTATTTGAGGAATGCAATATTTTATGCAATATTCATCTTAGAGTGTTCTCGGTGAGCATCGGCGTGACACTCGTAGAACCCTTACAGCGTAGAACGCACCGCAGCGATCCCAGATACGACGTTGCAGTGGCAGCTTCGCTGTACATATTTGCTTCATATAAAGAATATCCTAAACATTAAAACGGAGTATCTTACCCAATATCCATTCTCGCACGTTCATTGTCTATTTCGAATGGCTAAAGTTCCTTCAAAACTTTGAAAGCAAACCCGAAAGCAACAGCAGCCGGGACAGCAGAAGCACAGCGAACGACAATTTGTTGCGCAGTTGTTTCAGTGACGTCATCCATGTGATATACCCATGTAATATCCACTTGGCGGGCAATATGCCATGTAATATCCATTTTTATTCAATGTCATGTGACTGGGTCTGAACCAATCAAAACGTGCATAACAACAGTGAGATGTGATAATGCATCATAACGTCGGTTTAATAACCCCGTCTTCTTCTGTCTTCTATATATTTAAGACATATAATTTGCTACTGGGCATTATTAAGTGTAATTATTAAATAATAATTTAATTAATTATTAAGTAATTATTAAATAATAATTATAATGATTAGCGCATAACAAATAAATAATCGTTTTTTGTTTTTGTTTTTTTTATTTCAATAATAACGAAAAATTATTCAAACTCAAATTCCAACAGTAATAATTGTGATATATTGTTATTTTTTCTCTTTATCTACTGTATACATGCATGATCACGTCATTTGATGGAAACTGCAATAAAGTAACCACGTGACCAATTAAATGAGTGAAATCATCTAGTGTATCATAGTGATGTTTTTGTCTTAATTTCATTTTGATCATCGATTAATTGTTACAGATATTGATGAATGTAGTGATAGTCAAACATGTCAGAATGGAGGAATCTGCACTAATACAGATGGGTCATATGAATGCGACTGTACAGATGATTATGAAGGAGTCAATTGCGAGCTACGTAAGTATTTCCTTGTTATTTTTATGATGTAAATATTCCGGGTAATGATAAAATAATTAAAGTCCATATATGTTGTTAGTCTTTGTATTGTGTTAATTTATTATCACAAGACACTTTTAAGATACACTCTTATGATCAGGTATGTGATCTTATTCTATTCTATTCTATTCTATTCTATTCTATTCTATTCTATTCTATTCTATTCTAAGAAATGTTTGTTGTTTATATTTCAGAGATCAATGAGTGTGGAGGTGGTTTGCAGTGTCACAATAATGGCGTGTGTTCTAACTCAGTGTGTGATTGCGCTGACACTGGATACGAAGGAACCACATGCGAGGACGGTGAGACCAATTTGCATTAGTGTTGAGCCAAAACGTGTGACGTTACTTTAATTTCATCAGTAGATGAGGATAAGTCTTCTTATATTACTATTTAGAAATTGGGCATCATATTTTACGTCACGCCCAAACTACGCAGCAACAATGTATCGCGTGATTGAAATAAAATCACGTCACTGGACGCAAACGATCGCACAGATACGAATATTTTTTCGCTAGCATTTTGGTTGTAATATTTCACCAACTACGAGCAGGAAAAGATCTATATAAATAAGGTTATCCCGGAAATACCGAAACATATACACTCGGGCAGAACGGGGTCGCTATGAGTCGATCAACAGGGTCACCGTTCTGTCTTCGTGCGTAAAAGTATCAAAACTCAATGTGTAAAGGCATAGTTTCTTTACATTATGTGTTCATTATAAACATGTGATTGCGATGGAACTGGATATAGTGGGGATACATGTGAAACAGGTAAGTGATGAAAACATAACGTTTTCCATGTGGGTTCGCTGGTCTGTGGGGCTTCCCCGTCTGAAGATCTTTTGTATGTACTGACAGTCTCAAAATATGCCTGTTCTCAAAACATGGAAAAACATTCTGATATTGTTAAGGCTAATTGTCAAAGGATTTCAATCGATACTTATTCATTCACACAGACTTGATTTTAATAATGTCTCCCAATATTAACACATTAGTACACATACTTAACACTTTATTATACATCTGACATCGAGGAAAAAAATCTTCCGTAAAACGCTGTATAGACATGTTCAGAAATATTACGAACGCGACCGAATGTCTTCTTTATTTGGAAATTGCGCGTCACGCTTACGTCACAATCAAGCACTTATTTTTGTTTTCTTTAGATGCAGAAGTGCTTTCATTGCGTGTAGCAATTAATTCCCTGTCACTTGTCGCAAATATTCACACAGCGTGAAACGTTAAATTATTACTATAAGTATGGAAAATATGTATAATAATGATATCCTGAGAATACTTCAAAGTATGCACTACGCGTCAGTCGATATGATCGCCGTACTGCCTTCGTGCATATTTTGCAATATTCTCGTAATAACCTCATAATATATACTACACTTTATTATCATAATAATACTGTAATTATAATAATACAATATGTTGTGTGTGTGCTCATCAAACTTGTAATTAATTGTATAATTGTCAACACATATACTTACAAACAATCTTTAAGATATTTTATAATGTCATATCTTTAGATATCGATGAATGCACCGAGACTGCACCCTGTCAGAATAGCGGAACCTGTACTAACACAGAAGGGTCATACACATGTGACTGTGCTGGAACAGGATATGAAGGGGCAGAGTGTGAAATAGGTATGTGAATATCAGAAAATAGAAAACACATTGTGTTTATCTGTAGATGTTTATCAACGTGAGCTGATAAATTCAGGTTGTGCTTACATTGAAGAGAAATCATATCAGCGTTTATATGTTCTTTGGAACGACAGAAAACGATGTCCAGTATTTCTTATGTTGCTTTTGCCCGCACTGTATTATTGTTTACCTAAATATGGCTCAATTGAAGTCTTGTGATGTGGATATTTTTTCAGACATTGACGAATGTATTACGTCGTCACCATGCCAACACAATAGTGAGTGCACGAATTCAGTCGGATCGTATACATGTGTTTGTGAAGATACTGGTTACCAAGGAGACCACTGTGAAATTGGTGAGTATAAGCTGATATAGTAACATGGTCAACATGGAAAACACACCAGTAATGCGTTTGTCATTAGTAGGTGATTGTTTCGTCCATAGTAACCGCAAGTGCCTTTTTTTCATTTCAGACATAGATGAGTGTACACCAAACCCCCCATGCCAGAACAGTGGGACATGTACAAATACAGAAGGGAGTTACACATGTGACTGTGCTGGGACAGGATATGAAGGAACAGACTGTGAAACTGGTGAGGACGCTTCTGTCTATCAAAACACGTAATCGTATATATACATATTGTATTGATAAACACCAATATATTGTATACATGTTGTTTCTTGTAGATATCAATGAATGTGACACCAACACCCCCTGTCAGAATGGAGGTATATGTACAAATAACGATGGGTCGTACAGTTGCAATTGTGACGACATAGGGTACGAA